TATATATATATATATATATATATACATATGCTACAAATATATACATATATACTACATATATTGGCCTATATATGTATGTGTATGTATGCATGTAGGGGTGTATATGTGTATGTATGTATGCATGTATATATATATATATATATGTATATATATGTATATATATATATATATATATATATATATAATGTAAAAACAATGGAAAAATGGTGTACAATCATTGAAAGTTGACTTGTGGAACACAGATTTATTAAACTATAACACAATCAAATGGATATTTCGATAGCTCCTGCTATCTTTATCAACGTTAAAGTGAGAAAACTTTGGAGATCTTACACATACATAAAGAATAACCATTTATATATACATGTATATATATATATATATATATATATATATATAAATAGTTTTATATACATACATATACATATAGGCCTACATCATATACATACATGTATATACAACATAGTGAGGTTCGATAACAAAAGAATATAAGTGTTTCTGTACGATAACAAAGAATATAGGAAACAAATACCATGTATAGACTTCAGAAACACTTTATTGGAGAAAACCAATATTTCGACCTATCCTCAGGTCTTTATCAAGGTACTACCTACATATATATATACACACATATATATATACATACATATTATTATACACATACATTATATACATTTATATACATATATACATATACATAATTATATGCATACATATGTACATACATATACATATATATATATATATATATATATACACACACATACATATATATATATATATATATAGGCCTATATATTATCGAAGAAAAGTAAATACAGTGTTATAATAAAGGACATGATGGTTCATCGTGTAGCATAGTTCTCAACGTATGTTATCCTAATAAGTACATTTTGTAATATAATGCTTCAGACTAGATTTATCTGGTTTAACGCCCTCTCGAGACGTAATATTGCGTAATACATTGTTGACGGTTATTTGAGCTAATTTTTAAGCTACGTAAGCTTAAGTAGCAGCTGGTAAACCTTTATAAATAATATTCAAATCAAGTTGCTGCTTAGCACTGGAAACACAACAAGTGTATAAATGTATATATACATTTATAGTAAATGTGGTTATATTTAAAGTAAATATGGTTAAAATACTTTAAAAGTGGTTTACCGTGTAGTTATTTCTTGTTTCAAAGTATTTTATCCATATTTTATTTATTTAGGCATTGGGTAGATGATATGCCAAATTGAACTTAGTCACTCTTGAAAATGGCAATCCCATTGTAAGATATTGTTTCAAGCATTATTTACAATTTTTACATAATTTTTAATAAATAGGTTATATATTATTTTTGAAGTATATTTTTGTACTGTTTTTTTGTATTATTTCATGTAGTATATATAGTATTATAAGTATATATAGTATATTATATTATATATACATATATATATATATATTTCATGTAGTATATATAATATATAGTATTATAAGTATATATGTATATACGTTTTACTTTTAATTTTAAATTGTTTTGCATTATATATATATATTTATATATAGAACAGTACAGTATATATACAGTATATGTAGTATATATATATATATACATATATATATTTATATATATATATATATATCGGTGTGTGTATGTATATATATGCGGTTTTATACAGTATATATAGTATATACAGTATAAATATATACACTACATATATATATATATATATATATATATATATATATATATATATGTATA